ATAAAATAATTTGACAATTATGAACATTAAAAGTGTAAATTCGTGCACTTATCAGTGTTTTAGGTATTATTCCCGGCATATTTCATTAGAAAACACTAATCGGTTCTCATTTTCCCAACTCCAGAGTACACTCCACATACGTGTAAAGCAATTAAAGAAGCAATTTTACTTTTTTCCAATTAAATAAGTATGGGTCCACTTGAAACTTAAGCCACTTTTTATCTTTTGTACACATGCATTGCAGAGTTGTGCGGAGCCAGTAAAATCCGGTGCCTAATAGCAGAACTCTATTTCATTAGTTTATGGACTAAGTTTTGCACAAATTTAAATATTAACATTTTCTATTCATTTATTTAATAGATGGACTAAAAATAACTTTCAAAAACAAAAACATTTAAGTAATGTTGGCATTTTTTTTTTAATTTAAGGACAACTTAATCTAGTACTACTTTCAACACAATGACTATTTCAAAAAGAAAAAAAAATAGGGATCTTTAAGAATTTAAATTATTTTCTAATAATTTTTATTTATTTATTTATTTTGCTAAAGTTATTTATTAATTAATAGGGATCTTTTTTGGTATGCCAACATATCAGTAAGTAGGGTTGTCAATGGGGCAGGGCGGGGCGGGGTAGGATTTTAGCTGACCCACATCGCATTGCGCTTAGACCCGCCTTGCAATGACCCACATTGCTTAGCAGGGCAGTGCGGTGTGGGTCAATAACCAGCGGGGCTACAGGCAGGGTGGTGCCCACGACCCGCTTTTTTTTGTGGGGAATAAGGAAGGATAACTTGACATTTTGTTGTTGGGACCAAGACTAGTAAATTTCATTTCTATAAGGAAAAAAATAAAAAAAGAAATTAAAGACTAGATTTCAAAGAGCATCGGTAGAAATTAAAAAAAAAAAAGCCTAGAAACAAAACTTGCAAATTAACTAATGCCCATAAACGAACTGATAATAACTGAAAAAAAAAGTGTCGGCCAAAGAAATAAAACCACTAGATTGACATAAAAAGAAGAAAAAATAGGGCTCACATTTCAGGACCCTCTTTGCCATTCTTTGTAATCCTCAAACAAACAGTAAGGTAATGTTTGGTAGCTTATATTGTATTACATTGTGTTGTTTTATCATGGTACAATACGGTATTTGGTGTCATAACATATTGTATAATGGGTCAAAATGTAAAATTTTAATGATTTTGAGGTCAAAATGTAATTTTTTAAAAATTTTGAGGTCAAAATATAATTTTTTTAAAGTTTTGGGCTCAAAATAAAAGTTTTAAAGAATTTAAGTCAAAATGTAATTTTTTAAAAAGTTTTGGAGTCAAAATATAATTTTGTCAAAAATTTGAGGTCAAAATATAATTTTCTTAAAAATATAATGAGGCGAGTTTGGTTCGACCCGTCCCGAACCGTACCCACACCGCAACTTTATGGATCTTGACCCGCACTGTCCCGCAAACCAATATATGTTTGTCAGAACCGCCCTATTAGGGGCGGAGCGTGGCATCCATTGATATTCTTACCGGTAGGCTTAGTTTTTGTCCGTCGAATTTATAACATACTTGTACACTAGATATAATAGAAAATCTTCTTAATTAATAATTAAGGGTCCTTTAGATGTGACTTTATGTGAGAATTTTTTATTATAGTAAAAAAGTTAAATGTGATTATTTTTAAAAAAATTTTACCGTAATAAATTTTAAATTTTAAATTTAAATCAGTAAAATAAACAATACCTAAATAAAGAAATAATACTTCTCGTGGCATCAACTGGTATCCCAACCAACCAACAAGTGTTGAGTAACATAACAGCAAAAGGGTCCATAATCATAACAATGGCCTTATCTTCTTCCTCTCCGCTAGCTTTCACCACCGTCCATTCCTCTTCATTTTCCTCTCCAAAATCTCACCCCCACCCTGTAATTCCATTTCATTTCCCAACAAAACCCACCACTCCCCTGATCCTCCAAACGTCAATAACCACTCGTACTACTGAGAAGCAATGGAGACTCTGCGTCTCCTTCTTCTCTTCCTTTTTGAGCAAAAAAGGCAAAGACGCCACCGCTCTCAAGGAGGAGCTTCTCGACGCCATTGCTCCGCTTGATCGCGGCGCTGACGCCACCCCCGAAGACCAGCAGACGGTTGATCAGGTTGGTTGGTTGGTTTTTTTCAGTTGATCTGGTTGATGAAATGTACTGTAGTGTCTGTTTGTTGGTATGCTTTATAAGATTAGTACTGTAATGGGAAGTTGATCAGGTTGAGCTTTTTATTTGTTCCACTTTTCCTACTTGCACTGCCCGTTTCTTTTCAATTTTGATTTCTGGGTTCTTTTTTTCCTCTACCTGAATCTGAATTTGAGTCTTGAATTGACAAAATTTTGGAATGTACGGTGTGTCTGAGGACTAAGAAGTGATTAGGTGCGGGGGAGGAGCCAACGCCTTGTTAAGAATTAGCCGCCCTAATTCTACCTAACCGACAGTAATAAAACGTGGAAAAATAAATCAAGTGAAAATCGACACACAGAATTTATATAGGTTCGATTTTTCACTATGATAAAGAAGAAGTTACTAGAGAAAATTGCACGCCTCTCAACTCTCTATGATTTTCTCTACATCTCTAATAAACTCCCAAAAACGGAGCTCCTTTTATAATAAACACTAGGACAATTGAATTTTACAAGTGTGAAATTTCTAAACCATTCTTGATAAAATTTTAGGGGATGTTTGTTTCCTGTATTCGTCTTTGATTTTGAATTATGATTCATGGTTCTCTACAGTATTTCTCTCTCAAAAAAAAAAGTTCTGAATCATGATTTTGAATCTATAAACCAAACGTCCACTTAGATCGAGAGCTCTGCTCTTGTACCCTTGGGAGGGGGTGGGAAGCGGAGAGGGGTGGGAGAAGGGAGCATCCTGCCCTCCTCCCAACCCTCACGGGTGGCCTTACCACGAAATGCAATTCGCGGAATCCTTTGCGTAAGACAAGAAATCGTCGCGATTATTAATTAGGCTCCGCAACTTAACACGCTTTATTGTGGGTAGGCGACCGCCCCACGTGATTTTAATTCCTCTTAATTTTATATGTATATTTTGTTGAAATTTTTAATTTTCCCACCTAAAAAAATATGAAATTATATAGTCTGCTCTCTCTTAAACTCTGAAATTTTATATCTGCCCTTGTCACTTATTTTTCTAGCTCCATCCCATTTAGGTGAATTGACTTGGAAATGGGAGTCCTTGGTTACATTGTGTTCTAACACCATTGGACAGAGCATTGAGCAATCTATTGTCATTGTACTTGGAAATAAAGTGATAAGATTTATACCATTCTAGTGGTACAATTTGATGGGCGTGCAATTAGTTTCACAAGCTTGACTTTGATTGTATAGGGCAAAGAAGTCAGGTTTATGCGTCTTGCACAAACTTGGTGAACTCTGAGATTCTTATGTTCCTTCATATCAAGTGTTAGTAAGGGCCAGTTTGGCATTTTGAAAATTTTTATTGTTGTTGTGCTTTTAGTCAAAAGTTGTTATGATCATAAGCATATAAGTGTTTGGTAAATTTTTTTTTTTTAAAATTTGTTGTGAATACCAAAAGTAGAAATGTAGGTGTTTGATAAACTATGTACAAAATTATGTAAAGATGTATAATAACTGAAATAGGCATACTTTAAGAACGTACTTATAATTAGTTTTATTTCTATTTTTCTACTCAATATTGATTGTGGTATCCTTAATCCTCTCAAAATAGTGATCACATCTAGCATGTCTTCTTAATAATATATTATTTTTATTAATTATAATATATCATTTAAGCATTTTGATAATTATAATATATTATTTTTTATTATTAAAAATTAGCATAGGATATTTGTTAAAGATTTTTAATTTTCAACTAAACATTTAAAATAAAATACATTCTTCAATTTGATATGGAATATCAAGAAATAATGAGTAGATTGGAAATTAATTTTATTATTAGGGTTATTTTAGTAAATTTAGACAATGACAGCAGAAGCTGCTGTGTAAAAGCAACTCGTGACCTGCTTCTCAAATTCTATTGTATTAGAAGCTGCTGATCAAAAGTATGTTTTATTAAATACCCTGACATGCTGTAACTTCTTAAAAAAACAGTTAAAAACAACCTCTAAAAATAATGTCAAATGGCCCAAAATACCTCCATAGTTGTTTCAGAGGTCAGAAATCTTATGCCATTTTAATGCCTCATAATTATCTTCTGTTTTTAGATATCTTGGAAGATGTGAGCTAATATTGGTATCGATTATGTTCTGTCTATATGCATATTTTGTAGTTGATTCTTGGACTTATTTCTAAATAGATTGCACGCAAACTTGAAGCAGTTAATCCAATAAAGGAACCACTTAAATCCGATTTACTGAACGGGAAATGGGAGCTCATATACACCACTTCAAGATCAATTTTGCAAATTGAGGTAAATCAAAATCCTAACTTTATGTTCTTTTTCACTTAACCGGTTAGTTCCTTTAGAGGTCATCTAGTTTTATACTTTGGTTGAAAACTTATTAGCAGTACGAATTATTTCCTACCCTTTCCTGTAAATAGTTGGCTACTTGTCATAATTATATAAGTTAAGGCCTCGTTCATTTCACTGATTCGAGTTTTCAGTTTTAAATTTTTACAGTAAAAAAACTCTCAGAAAATATCACATCTAACTTTTTCTGCTACAGTGAAAAGCTTTCAGAAAATGTCACATTTCAGTTCGAATTGAAAACTCAAATCCGCGAAGTAAATGAGGCCTTAAATATAGGTGACTTATATGTGTTATTATAATACGGATGTCCTCTTAATCAAAACGGTATTAGGGGACGGCCAATGAGATAGGAAAATAGAATAACAGATCTCAACTTGACTTGACGGTAAGACCCATTTGATTCTTGGCACTAGAACAAAATGCTGAATATTTAAAAACGGTAAGACCCATTTGATTCTTGGCACTAGAACAAAATGCTGAATATTTTTTTAAAAAAAAAATCTTTACATTTATGTCATATTATCGTGGCAGAGACCCAAATTTTTGAGATCCAGAACTAACTTCCAAGCTATCAATGTGGACACACTTAGGGCCCAAAATATGGAATCTTTTCCGTTCTTCAATCAGGTAAGACTGAAATTGTTCTTTTACTTCTCATTTTTGGACCTTCCTTTTTAGGAGTAGGTTTTTTTTTTTTTTTTTATGCGTATTTGTCTTGTTTATTTTTTTATGAGTTCTCTAATGGGCTCAATGTGGGCAAGATAAACAGACAGACAATAGTTTATTTCATCATTCGCGTTTAAAATTTAAATTTTATTACAGTAAAAAGCTCTCAGAAATAGTCACATCTAATTTTTTTTGTTACAATAAAAAACTCTTATATAAAATCACATCTCAACTCGAATTAAAAATTCGAATTAGCGAACTAAACGGGTCATTAATTTATAGTCTCATGACAAAATTTTACTGTTCATCTAACACAAATATTGTTCATCAACAACACCTGCCTTAGCACTATGATGAATTCACTTAAAATTGGCTCTATAACACCTGTGCTTCATCCGTCATAACTGATGGATTCAATATATATTTAGGGTCGAATTCTCTTGTAAATCGTGGTCATTTATGACTATTATTATCAATTTGTTAATTCCGGAATGAAATTTTCCCTTAAAAGAAAAAAGGTGGTAGAACACATGCAACTTCTAAAAACTGAAGACAAAACGTCTCTGCCCTCTCTTTATTTCTCATCCTAAAATCAGAGCCAACCATGGGCAAATTTTCAATATCACTGTTCTAATTTGTTCTCAAACTTGACTTCAAAAGATAGTGAAATTCACTGTAAAACCTTAGATCACTCTCATAAGGCTAATATGGTATCAGACTAGTACCAACTACCAACCATAATTTGTTCTCTGCTTAATATTCCACGCTTAATAGTTTTAGAGCTTGTTTAGTTCGCTGATTCGAGTTTTTAATTCGAGTTGAGATGTGACTTTATGTGAGAGCTTTTTATTGTAGCAAAAAAATAAAATGTGACTGTTTCTGAAAATTTTTTACTGTAAAAAAACTCGAATCGGTAAAATGAACAAAGCCTTAACTACTGGCCTGACCTCTTCTTTATTCGACATTTGTGTCAATGTTTTATAGGTTACAGCTAATTTAACACCCTTGAATGCAAGAAAAGTGGCTGTGAAGTTTGATGTTTTCAAAATTGGTGGTCTGGTAAGTATTCTCATTCTTCTTGTTGTGTCTGAACATATTTTCACACATCTGTTTTTCCCTCAGCTAAAAAATGTCAAACATTAAAAGAAGTATGATTTGTTTTTTACTTACTAATACTAAATTGGTGCCATTTAGTTCAATACTAAACTAATCCTCATAAATTAAGTCTAGAAGGGGAATTATTAGCTTATTTTACTTTGAAAACTTAAATAATGTGTCCCATTAATCAAATGCTTATGATTTACAAAATCATTGTATTCAGATAACTATTAAGGCGCCTGGAAGAGCTCGGGGAGAATTAGAAATTACATATTTGGATGAAGAATTACGGTAAGTTGATTTCTTGAAACTTTATATTTAAATAATTAAGTACTTATTTATTTCACCGATTCAAATTTTGCTGTAATAAAAAATTCTCAGAAATAATAACATTTATTTTTTTACTATAATAAAAAGCTTTTATATAAAGTTAAATTTTTTCTCATCTAACAAGGAACAGATGTACTTTTTTTCACGTTGTAGGGGTTAGTTATTTTTTTTTTAATATAATTTATTTCGTTTTTCTACTTTTTAGTGAACTTCAAAAGAGCTAATGAGAAGTGTGATATTTCTTGTTTTGTTTGCAGCGTGTCAAGAGGTGACAAAGGAAACGTGTTCGTCTTGAAAATGATTGATCCATCTTACCGAGTTCCTGTCTGACTGGTTCAAATAGCTGCATTTTAAGATTTCCCTCCCATCAAATGTTTTAGGGGGTATTTGATATACGGTAATCAGTAAAAATTATATTATTAGAAAAATGATCGAGAATAATATTAATTTTTAAGAATCATGCATGATCATGCTTAGTTATACATAGAAATTTTTCTATTGATTCTCAGAATTCACTTTCTTATATTTAGTTGTGTACAATAATGTAATCGTTTTTATAAAAGTAATAGTTTTTAAATTTTTTGAAAGGAATAATTTTAAAATTTTTGAAACATAAATCGTAACTATCATTTTAATAACACTAGATTAATACTCTTATTAAATATTTTCCTTGATATAGATATTACAAGAAAAATTATTATTAAATCTTATCGGATCTTTTTATAATTATTATAAAAATATAAAAAAATAAACTTTTAAAAAATTAATTACGAGTAAAAATAATAACAAAAGAAAAAAATGAAAAAAACAAAAACCCAAAACAAAATATTCTTTCTTTCTCAGTTTCTCGTGTGTAGATCTCTCGTCCCTCTCAATCTCTCCCATATTCTTCTCGATCTCTCTCTCTCTCCTTCCAGATCGGTGCTAGGCTTGGAGTTTGCAAGGCGTGGATAGTGCGGCGGTCACGGGAGGCGGATGGAGGTGATGGCTTCACAGGGGAAGGAGTAACGACGCGGCTACAGGGACGTTGAGGGAAGTGGCTGCGCAGCTTTCCGATGAGGAGACTTGGCGGCCGCTGATGGAGATGAGATTGGCGGTGATGCAAGGCTGCGGTCACCGTGGAGTAGCGACGGAGAACGGTGGTTGAGCTTTGACGGTGGGGTGGGGTGCGACAATGGGCCTGTGACTGCGGTGGCGACGACGGCGACAGCGGGCTGTGACAGTGGGTTGCGACAGGGGTAAGTAATGGTCGAGATTTGGGGTGGTGGGTTGGAATATTGGGGTGATTTGCTTATTGGTCTCTAAAATTCTTGGGAATTTGAATAACGTGGTGTTGAGATTATCCCATATTAAGGGAAAGTGAATCCTATAAGATTCACATTTTTCTTGTATTAAATGTGAAAATGTAAAAAGATTTTTATTTTTATTTAAAGATTACCCCTAACGCATTGAATTTTGATAAATGTACTACAATTTTGGCCCAAAAAAGGAAAAAAAAAAGTGCGACTACAAGTTTTACCAAGAAGAAGGTCCAATCAAATTGTTTTATCAACTCATAATAGAATGCTAGTGGTACTTGGAAGTTAGGAATTTTCACATTAGTGGCCTAGCTACCAATATATATTAATGACCTTTTACTTGTATTATTTACATACATGTCATCAAATAAGTTAATAATATTGGATTATTTTTTTTGGTGGGATACTTGTATTGTGATGTTGTAACTTGTAACGAGTATTATGATATTATCACAATGGTGTCCTTTTACGTTTTTGTCTTTCTTCCTCTAGAATGTACTTGGCTTAATATGGGAATTGGGAAGGGTCAGATTTGGATTCACGTATAAAGCAGTTTTGTCGGTGAAATGATGAACGGGTAGACTTTGCAAGTGATTTATCTTGGTGGATTCGTACCCTGATTTGAATAATGATTTATAATTTATTAGAGTATTTTCTCTCACAAAAAACACACGTAAATTGAGAATAATTATGAATCCATAAATCAAACGTTTCAACAGTATCAAAGATTTATTTGGGTAGGTTATCCTTATCCCTATAATCTTTTCTCTTAAAAATAATAAAAGTCGAGGACATTTGGTTCATGGATTTAGAACTATGATTCAGAATTATTCTCATTTTACGTGTATTTTTTGTGAGAAAAAATACTGTAGCGAGCCACAAACCATGATTCGAATCATGGCACGAATTTCCTTTTTAAACGTCCAGAAAAAGATTGAAGTAGAGAGTTGTGTTCCAACTATGACAATAATGAAAACTAGCATAAAAAACTATGACACAAATGATGTATCTTGCTCTTGGTGTAAGAGTAATTGAAAAAAAATACAAAAATACCCTTTTATATTAGTTTCATTATTGTTATTATTAACTTCTTACTTATTATGACTCTTTTATTAGAACAAATCAACTTAAATAAATTAAAAACACACTTGAGCAATATTGATTTTACATTAATTTTAAACTTTTTTTACAGACATTCTATCAACTTTACCAGTTTGACAAATTAGTTCCTCAACTTTTACTTTTGGCAATTTGTCTATTAAAATTTAAAATTCATTACAATGTTAGTCAAATTAAAAATAAAGTTAAAATTTTAAACAATTTTTTTTACGTAAACGTTTAGTGGGACTAATTATAGTCTTTTGGCATCATATTGACCACGATATGCACATCATGAACACAAAAATTTTTAAAATTAAGGAACTCTCAAGTTTTCTCCCAAAACCATTAGAGAACCAATTCAATGTAAAAGGATCAAAATTAGTCTGACTATATGTTTATGTGGAAGAAACTGTCTAACATTTTAACTTCATTTTCAATTTGACTAACATTATAACTAATTTCAAAATCTAAGGGTAAACAGACAATATTTTAAAAGTTGAGATCAATTTACTAAACACGTAAATTAAAAGTTCCGTAACAAAACTCTAATTTTAAGGGTCAATTATCAAAAAATTTCATAAATTTTAGAGTTAAAAAATAATTCTTAAAAAGTGCTTAAATTTCAAGCTATCCACCTCAATCGGAGCTAAGAGTATCTTTCATGCAATGTTATAATTAATGTATCAATTGTAAATTTAACATTTGAGAGTAAAAAAATACTCTGCAATGCAATGTTATTTGTTGTGCCAAATTTTCTATATGTTATACTTTGTGTCAAATTTCTCACTAAGTATAGCATATGAGAAATTTGACATTTAATTTCTATTAGTTGAAATATTTACTTTTTCATGTAATCATTGCAACTTTTATTTTTTCTAATTATTTTAATAATAAAAATTTACTTCTATAATTTTTAAAGCTTAATAATAATAATAATAGGAAAATGTAGATTTAACATTTCGAATACCATTGTTCAGAGCAAAAAAAAAAAAAAAAAGCATTGTGTATTTGAGTAAAGATGAAAATAATATATCATATCATACATTTTAATATTAAATATACAATTAACATTAACATTTACATTGAAGATGGTCTAACTTTTTTCTTCACTTTTAAAATTTTTTTTTTTTTCACTTTCTTCCTTATAATGGACATGTACTTTTAACTTTAACAAAATTTTAGGGTTAATAGCAATCGAAGAGAATTACTAACAAACATCATCAAATTGACAGTTTAAATGGTAATTACTTTTCAAACCATGTCACTTATAAATCTCGTGTCTCGAATAGTAAATTTGATAACGTAATTAGCTATTGGATTCAATTGTTATTTATTTTAAAATTTAAGGCATATTTTACAATATTGAAAGCTCAATGTCTATTATACATAACGCCGTTTGATAGACAGATTCAAAATGTGGCGGTTTAAAATTTGTTGGTTGGAATATATAAAGTTTGAAAAAAATGGTTCAAACCATTTGAAAATAAGGGGATTAAGCTCAAATGTCTTTGATTTTTATAGTTTAAAATATTAAATCAATAATTTAAACTAATAGCCCGTTTAATACACACATTTAACTCAATAATTTTAATTTTAAATTTAAATTTGTAAACAGATTATATAAATTTTGAAAAAATGGTTCAAACCACTTGAAAATAAGGGGATTAAGCTCAAATGTCTTTGATTATTATAGTTTAAAATATCAAATTAATAGTTTAAACTGATGACCCATTTAGTACATGCATTTAAGTTAATGATTTTAATTTTAAATTTATATTTATGAGAAAACTTATTGATGAAATTTTTTTTAAATTTAAATTTTTTAAGAGAAAAAAAATACTCTATTTTAAACTCGTAAATAACTGGTCTTAAGAATCAAAAAGATTTATCAAACATTAATTTAAAAAATATATTTTTGTTCAAACCACTTGAAATTGTTTAGCAAAGGGACCGATAAAAAAGGGAATAATTTAGGGTACAACAGTTTTTTTTTTTTTAAATCACAACTCTGAACATACAAACAAACAAAAAGTTGTTTGGTTGGGAACGAGGGAAACGTTGGTTAAAAATGTTGTTCAACATGAAACCAAACAGAGCCTCAGCTTCTGCATTAATGGCTCCTCCCTCTCTCTCCTCTCTCCTTCACCCTCACCCTCACCATCCTTTCTCTTCCCCAAACCCTAACCTCGCCCGCAGGTATACCCTTCCTTCCCGAACACCGCCAAGCACCGTAACCCCCCTCTCCTCCAGCCCCAGCCCCGGCGCCGACCAGCCCTCACCCTCTCCGGCGCCGCCCAAGAAGTCATTCGCCATCGCGACCGGCGAGCTCTTCCTGGGCCTGGCGTCGCGGCTCGTCAAGAGGCCCAGCCGTGGCCCGAACGGCGAGAAGGCGGCGGCGGACGCGGTCGCCATGTTCGAAAACTATGGTGGCGACGGCGGTGGGAATTATAGAGAGAGAATTGGGAAGGTAATGGAGGACGAGATTGAGCCGGAGGTGGTGTGGGAGCAGCGCGTGAAAGACGTCGAGGCCGAGCGGCAGCGGCGCGTCGTCACCAGCCCCGGCTTCAGCTTCTCCGCCGCCGGTCTTCTCTTCCCTTACCATCTCGGCGTCGCTCGGTTTCTTATCCAAAACGGCTATATCAAGGTTATTATTTGTTTTCTGTATCTTGCGTTTAACGAAATTAGTTCATGTAGTTTAGCATTACTGATTATTCAATGGTGTTGAATATTATTAGGGATTCCTAGTTGCTTACGGGATTTTGGTATGATGTACCAATTGATTTGTGATATTATGAGTAAAGGAATATCTTGAATTTACCGATAGAACGAGACAATTGCCTCATTAGTTGATGGTCTAAACAAGTTAAGTTTGTAGCATTGTTTGTTTGTTTGTTTATTTATTTATTTATTGATAAAGAGGGGATCATTTTGCCATCCCAATACACATTCTCTTTGTCTATAGCGAAAATCTTGGGGACCCACCAATAGAGCAAAAGTGATAATTTTGCGGAAGTGGCTTGCATTTTATGTTCCACTTGAGGTTTTCTATGCCTACTGAGTATGCGAAATCTTGTTCGCTGCTTTCAGCAGCTTTCCTGATAATATTAATATCTGATTTTCATTCCTGTTTGTGTTATCTGTGGTTCTAGTCAATGCATGTCTAGTGCAAAGTTGGAAATGGCTGAACCATATTTGACTGCGTTTTGGCATTTTAAGTCGTAGAATGTACCGGTGATTTCTTGATGCTTGTGAGTGATCTTTGTAGAATATTTGACTGCATTTTGTTCTTCGGACTAATTGAATCCGGGGAAATGTTATGGTATTTAGTTAGTGATTACCTTAATCGTCAACCTATTTTCTGATAACAAATGAGACCCGCACACTGTTCTCTCACGGTAATGTGTGATCGACTAATAAGCAGTGGTGATGAGTAGTTGAATTAGCGGTTTGGCGGATTAGGAACAAGAATCGACTATGGGGAAAATATATTATTTAGTTTCATTTCCTAATTCCAAGGTTATTAGAGTTTGAAAAATTATCCCAAACCTTGTTCAGTAAGTTTGCTTAACTGATAGTTCGGTACTTTTCACTATTGGTTCAGTTACTTTCCTGTTTGTATTAGTTTCCTTTTCTTGTTATTTACTTCTCTATAAATGAGTCTGAAGATTGTGATTGCAATTTGCAGTTCAGACAAAGGGCTTGACTAATGATATTGATTTATTGAATATTCATACTGCCTCTCTATTGTTCATATTCTTCTCTCTAATGTTTACACTCTCTTTTTCGCTATTCTTCTATTTCTCTATCCTTCATTGGTGATACTTAGAACTGATTCATAACCATAGCCGTAATTTGTCCTAATTTCCTCATCCCCCAATCAGTTTATAAAGAATAGAGGACCAAAAGGACTGCTCATTATTCAGAGGTGAATCATAGAACTCCAAAAGCTGTGATTCTTGGATATGACTAATACAAGTCTAAGTTATAAAAGAGTTTATAATATATTGTTGTGTACACATCTTTCTGTAACTCTGTACTTTCATTTTTGCTAATTTTAGTGATCTTGTTAATCAAATGGATGAATATAGCATTTTGGTTATCTTTGTTTTCAAACTGTAATATCTATTTGGATGCAGGACACAACTCCATTAGCTGGTTCATCAGCAGGTGCCATAGTCTGCGCTGCGATTGCTTCTGGAGCCAGCATGGAAGACGCCTTGAAAGCTACTAAAGTACTGGCTGAAGATTGCCGGACCAAAGGGACCGCATTTCGGCTTGGGGTATTTCTCTACTATAGTGAACCAAACTAGCTTCCCATATTGATAATAATAACTAAGTGACCTTGTCTTTGTTAGATGAATGTGGGGCCCTGGCCTTGATATCATTGCCAGTGAGTGATACAAAATATTTAGCTATTGAATTATATTTTCTGATATTTGAATAGGTGTCTTTCTTGCACCGACTGGTTTTCCTGGTAATTTTGAACCGTGCCATATAATGGTGCATGTTATAGGTGCCTGTACTTTGTATGCATTGACTAGTTGAAGATACTCTGGATAAATATTAGCTGACACTTGTAGAAGCTTGTCATCTGAAATAAACGGGTTATCAGAAATACCCCATTGTAGAAGCTTGTCATATAATGGTGCATTGTAGAATCTAACACTTGTAGCTAACATATATGTACCATTGTGTTCTCCTCTTCCTCCTCTCTCTCTATGTTGAAATGCTGCTTCTTCGTGTATTTGAATATGTCTATAATATGCATATGCATAATGTTAAATTGACCAGTAACGTGAATATGCCAAGTGATAATTTTTTTAAATTGAGCACGTATATGTTTCTATGCATGTGTGTATATGTAGGTGTTGTAAATTATTATACACCAATGCGTGCGGTGAATTATTATATACAACATACGAATGCGTGTATCTGAGTAAATTATTATAGATGAGTGCGCGCGCGCGTATTCAATTTCTTATGCTAATAGTAAAATCAGGGTACCTTAAAGCTCTTCTTCTTCATCTTCTTTTAGAATTAGAATTTTCCCCCTTACCTGTGGAATGTGGAAACTACAGTTTAGAAACACATTGCCAGTGACATCAATTCAGATGGGAGGCTAATTTAGAGCCATCAAAATTCTGGTATTGTAATTTTCTTAGCAGGGCTTATTGAAATGTGTAAGTCCACATTTGGACGTCATTTTGTATCTGCTTACGCAATATAATTATAATGGATTTAAGCTTGTGATTGATTGACATGGTGGATAGTCTGGTATAGTTCTTTTAATATCTTCATCATGCAAGAAATAGAGACAACTTTCATAAAATGATATAGTTAGTGAAATTTCAAATTGGGTTATGAAATTAAATGACTGTCTCTGAGTTAAATGTTTGAGTTATTGTTCTGCGTTTTGTTTTGTTTAGATTGTTGTACTCTTTCTCTGATGGATCCCTCATCCATCCTTCAGTAAATTCACTTCAGTAATAAAATTTTTAGTTTCTTATCCAAAAAAAAAAAAAAAAGACTTGCGCCAGCTTTGCTTGTTTTGTTTTGTGTCTGTGAAAAGTAACCTTCATTTAAGGAAACAAGTATTTTCTTAAAAAATATTCATTCTCAAGTTGTCCAATCTTCACCTGTACAGGCTGTTCTTCGAGATATCCTAGACAAGTTTTTGCCAGATGATGTACATAGTAGATCAAATGGTCGCGTTCGTGGTAAGTGGGTCTTCTACTCTATTCTGTGGCTCTGTTTTAAACAGTGCAGTCGGAACATTATGCTAATTCAATGTTGGAATAACCAAGGTTTTAAATTGCAATTGTGGCGTTCTTTCTTTATGAGGTGAGGCATAAGCCTCAGATTAAAACTATAAAATAATTGCAAAAAATATTAAAATTCAGGCATTTAATTTAAAAGGAAAATTCATAAATCATAACTTGACGTCATAAATGTCATATTACTCAATAAAAAGTCTCAAGTCGATAATTATTCTTTATTTTTTTCTCCCGCTTATTTTCCATAACTTCAGATTTTAGGGTTTCCTTTCTTATTGCACTGCCACTTTGATCACAAGCAACATTATTCTCCTATTCACAATTTAGGCCTATCTAGCTTTTGTTTTTGTTTTTGTTTTGTTTTTTTTAGCAGCATTTTATTTATTTATTTATTATTATTATTATTAATATTTTGAGTTTTATGGGCTGTTTTTGGATAAATAATGAGTCTGGGCTGGGGCTTTTTATTAATTTCAGACCAAAGTAACATAACAGTTAAAAAGTGAGGTCAATGCCTCATAAATTGAGGCCTCAAAGCCCACCTTAGAATTGAGAGGTGTACACCTCTTTCTTACTATATGAGGCTTGAGCCTCGAATCCATCTTCCAGCACCTCATGGTGAAACACACCTCCTATTGCGCAATTGTTGGACAACACTGAGAATAACAAATTCTGGTACACGTCTATTTTATAATAGGAATAAGTTTATTTTCAATAATTCATTATCGAAAACACACTTATGTAGATTTAATTAATACACAGATTTAAAAAATGTGAATGTCATACTTTTATCATTGGATGCGCAGAAGTATATATTCGAGTGTATTATTCTCAACATTTGAACGTGTATACTCTTGTGCATTTGTTGGTAACCTGCCAAAATTCAGAGTATTATGTTGAATTCATAAGTAATGATTAAAGTTGTCACGGCTATGTCAATGGCTGATAACCAATTTGAACAAGAAATTCAAGCCGTCCTAATTAAATTTTACATAAGAAATTAATCGACCAAATCTCCTCCATGTGGGGGAAAAAAAAAACATTGTTATAAAAAAAAGACAAGTATCCAGTTGTTTTTAGTTTCGTTTATGCTGAAATGTTATATCATTTTTATTTCTATCCAAGCCACATAACTCTGGTTGGCTGTTGTTAGTCAAGATCAACCAACTTTTCTTTTCATATGTCGATGAATTTCTTAATAATTTCCCTTTATTTGTAGAACAATTAGGCAGATGTTCTTCATGGAAAGAAATCTTTAATTTGTGCCTTATGGTCATATTTCTTACGGCGATGGAACTTGGCATACTCTTCCCCCATCTATTCTGAGATGTGGATGTTAAAATGCCTTTAATGCTGCTCTGGCTTATGGCTGTTTCTTCTTTTTGCAGTTGCTGTTACTCAGATTCTGTGGAGGCCTAGGGGACTATTGGTAGACAATTTTGACTCCAAAGAAGATCTAATTAATGCAGTTTTCACTTCTTCCTTCATTCCGGGGTATTGTTTATTATACCGTTCCATTTTTTAGTACTTGCGGTTGTGTTGTTTTATATGTTGCAATACTGAGAGTGTACTTCATTGCAGCTATCTTGCACCAAGACCAGCAACGTTTTTCCGGAATCAGCTTTGCATTGATGGGGGTTTAACGTTGTTTATGCCACCAACATCTGCTCCACAGACGGTATTTTCCTGATATGCTTTTAGTACGATAACTTGTGATGTAATATATTCCTATTCTATTTTGACGTTGTGAAACGTGAAGTTGATGATTCGCTTGTATGTTGTTTTCCTTGCTTATATGCATTCGTTAGTGAAGTTCACGTGGACATTTTAGTTTATTTATTTATTTTAATTTTAATTTTTTTACTTTTGCTCTATTTATTTTCATTTTTTTTAGTAGACGTAATTTAAGATGCAAAATTTTATGTTCCTGTTGAAAGAACGTGAATAATCTTTAATTTGGATTTCTTGATAAAAAAGTGCCTCTCTGCAAAAGGATAAATTAATAGAGCTATATGAATAGAGGCTAAGGTGTATTATAAGAAAATAGTACAAGAGCCATAGCTTTATTATACTTCTTATTTAAGTTGTGCTCTTTTGCATGCAATTGTTTGAATCTATTTTTGCTACCACTATCTTGTCGTGTGAGTAATTTTCATGATTTCTGTTCAAGAATGAATATAGCAGTAACTCTGATTGTTGCACATTTTAACTAGTCTCTTTGCAGGTTCGTGTTTGTGCTTTTCCAGCTAGTCGATTGGGATTGGATGGGATTGGGATCAGTCCCGACTGCAACCCGGAGAATAGGGCCAGTCCTCGTGAGGTAATCTTCTTGCTCTGTCCGAGTGATACTGACACTTTTCGAAGATAAGCTGACAAACCTATCACTCTTCAAAGACAAGCTGACAAACCTGCTTTTTCCTGACAATTCAGCTTTTTAATTGGGCCCTTGAGCCAGCAGAAGATTATATTCTTGACCGGCTTTTTGAGCTTGGATATCAAGATGCAGCTGTATGGGCTAAGGAGAACCCAGTTAGCGAATTAGTTGAAGATGGCGGCCCCTTAGTTGGGAATGGCTTAGCACAGTAGTTCAACTTCATACTTGTATAGTGAAGGAAATTCATCCCAATTTGACCTTGAAGATGCAAGAAATTACAGAATAGTCGGCAAACCACTGATTGCTGCAATGGTCTTCAAAATCAGGTCAGACAAGCAAATTTTCATATTGTCCTATATTGATTGTAAATGGCAGAAACCAAGTTGACTTGCTAAAGTACTGTATATTGTATTTAAGGTTCGGTAATTCTTTGTAAGATATATTACGTGATAGAAAAAGAAAAGGAAAAACAAAATGATAAGACTCTTTACCTAATCTTTCTTTATCGAGAAATGGCATCTCACTCTACAGAGTCCCACTAGCCACTAGGGGCAGAAATATAACAGTATTTTTTTTGTAAAAGGTGGATTCAAGTTCATCCATGCCTATTTCATATGGACTGAAGTTTTGATCCTTTCAAAATGGTACGCTAAAATTAGGTTAAGATCTAGTGCGCTGCACAACAGGTCCAATGTATCAGCTTGTCTTTGTTTGTTGTGAGGCTTAGTCTTCATATTTTTGGTGTTTTCAGCGTTAACAGATTTGTGTGCGTGCGCGCACGCGCGCTTTTATTCCCCTCCACCTCCCCCAAAATAACTAGTCCTCTGGTTAGAAGCATGAGAATTTATCTACTACAGTTCAAATGAAATTAATAAATTTATGGCTCCAATGAATAATTAAATTTGAAGTTTGAGTTAGCTTTGTCGTAGCTTTGGATGGTCTTGCGAGAGGCTCCTTCTCTTTAGAATTCTAAACGTAGTCTTACAAAATGAGTTCATCAAAGATTAATCGTTTAATCAAGAATTTAGGTTTGGTTCCGAATTTTTTAGAATTTCTTTGGGATCAGATGGGGGTTTAATCAAGTTCGAGGAGAGCAGGTTTAGTCGGAAATTTCTTCGCACTTGTTCAATTGATGCAGCGTTCTGGTTAAGTGATTATGTTGGAGATGTCTGTTTATGATATGAGACAGGGTTTCAAACACAAGTTCTGCAACAACTCGACACTCTTAACGTAAGTTCTAAGGAATAAGGGGGGTGAGTTTTTGAAGATAATGAGAGTGCAAGGAGTGATAAGAAATTTGTTTATACCGGGAGACCAAGTGAAAGTTGGTTGGAAGATTTTGAAGAACAGATTGGCTATAGTATTTGGAAGGGGTGGCAGTATTCCCTTAAAACATCAAACAAGGTGGAGACAAGGGAGATTATAAACGAGTTTAAAGGAAAGGAGATGACATGGACGGGTTCATGGAACATCAAAGATTGTTTTAACCAAGGCAAGAAGACGAAGCATTGACGAAAACGAAGAGAACAATGACGCGAGGAGGGAATTCATGGATAAATGGTAGGGATACAGGAGGTGGAGGTCAAAAGGAAGAGAACAATGACGTGAGGAGACCTGGAATTGCCGGCGGCGGCGGCGTTTCGACACTGTTTCGAAAAGAGTTGGTTGGACGTAAACAACGGTTTGAGCACAATCCTTAAATGACAAACCAAAGCTCGATATTGGCAAATTGAATAGAGCAATCTTATGGTGTAGCAGTCAGGATGAAAAAACAAGGGGTCCTTTTTGTCAAGGTAGTTGAAGTTGCCATGAAGTTTCTTGATCACAGTGGAAGAGTGGAGCCCATATATCCACCGGAAAGATTCGGTGATAGGAGTTCGTTCTGGTTGGACAGGTCTGGAAGGAATACCACTAAATATGCGCAACAGACATGTCTACAAGGTAATTGGAGATCATCTCGTGATCAACATTCCTAGGGACTGCTGTAGTGGGTGTTTTGGTCAGGGCATAAATTTTAAATTATTTGATTGTGGTAAAAATTGTAAGAGTTTTTGTCCTCAATCACAAGTCAATCCACAACAAATATCCGTGGCATCCTCCCTAATTATTTAAAAAAAAAAAAAATAGATACAAATTGGCTAGCTGGCCAAGTCTGTTGTGTTTGAAGGCATGCTTCATTAAGTAGAGGTGTGGGATGTGCAATTACCCCAAAAAAAGGGAAAAAAGGGGCCCGTTTAGAATTTGTTTTAAAATGATTTTATATTTTGTATGAAAATAAAAATGTAAATATTTTTAATCTAAGATAAATTATTTTTAAAAATGCGTTTAGTAATTTTATTAAGAGATTATTTTTAGTGTAAAAAAACTTATTAATGTCTCTCTTTCTCTCTCTGCTTGAGAGAGGAGAAAACGAAAACAAAAAATGAAAAACGATTAAAGTCGTTTTTTTTTCATTTCTCTCTCATTTTACACTAAACAAAAAAATTGTTTTCATTTACATTTTTTGTCTTTATTACACCAAACGTCGTTTTGAAAACGTTTTTATATATATATATTTTTAAAAATATAAAAAATAAAAACGGAATTAATTCCAAACATGTTTTGTATGGACGTGCATTCTATCACCAAGTACTTCATTTTTATTAGGCATGCATATCATTAGAGTGTGAGTTTGACTAAAAACCAAAATGTGAAAAAAGATAGGATCTAATCACTATGATGGCCTATTGAGGTCAATCATCGGTTGGTTGGTAACTGCTGAATGGTCAACTGTTTAAAAGAAGACTCTAATAATGTCCTATTTGGATCTGTTGAGAACTTGCAAAGCCGAATCCCACGAAATCAGGGATAGCTGTGTCCCTTTGTAAGAAAGGATGATATTGTTGAAGTTGACCATAATGAACTTTTAGTTTAGTTTTAACAAAATGACCAACCCGACCAAATGCTAAAGTAAAACTTAACTGACCTACAAAGGGTAGAATGGTAATTTTATGAACATGGATAAAATTGAAAACACAATGTTCAACACTGTTGTATGAACAGTAAAACCAGTCTCCTCCTATAGTATATGTATAATGTAGACACGATATATATTGTCAACCCAAACAATGGCGGCTGACATTCCATTCTTTGTGGTCAATTACATAAACTTTAGGGTAAAAATCTCAAAGTATTTACACGCATGCATACTTTTTTTCCTGTTTTTTTTTTTTTGGATGAAACAGGAGATAACCATCATTGAGTATTTTTCAAGTCATCCCAATAAGATAGATTCTTTAAAAAAAAAAAAAAAAAAAAAAAAAAAAAAAACCTATCCTATAGCGAACCACCGACTAAATTAGAAAAAGAAAAATAAAGACAAAGTTGATGAAAAAAATCAAGCCGAAGCCAAATGAAGCGCGCAACAAAAAGAAAAACCAAGAAGAGTAACAAATGGAGCAACAGCAACAGTATTGCAATGAAAATCAAGCCTAAATCAAGAGTATGGAAGAACCACAAAAAAGTCTTACGATTGGAAAAAGGCCTTATTTAACCCTTGTAATGATAAAACCCCATCAAAAAAAAAAAAAAAAGCGTGCATAATTGGAGCCTGAGCAGAGCTTCCCCTAATACCCGCATTATCAGATAACATATATATGCATACGAATTTACATGTAGTGGACACTTGTCAAGATTATGAAAGAAGAAAAGTTCAAATTTTCTTCTAAGTAGACACTTGTCAGGATTAAAAAAGAAGAAAAGTTCAAAATTTTTTTTTAAGTGGACACTTGTTAAGATTATGAAAGAAAAAAAGTTCAAATTGTCTTTTGTTAGACACTTGTCAAGTAGATGGACACTTGAAATTTCGTCAATGACCAAGATTTAGCCAAAACACTTATGATTCAATTGTAGATATTATATATGAAATTAATGGCTAGGATCTATCCACATATGCTTTGATCCAAGGGCTAGAATATAAGATGGCAAGCTATAAATAGGTGATGGATTCATTTCATCCTTCATATGGAGGAAGCTAGAGAGAGAAAGTTAGAGAGAGAGAGAGAGAAAAGAGACAAAAGAGAAAATAGAGGAAGAGAGAAAGAAAAAGAAAGAGAAAACGGAAAGACAGAAAGAGAGAAAACAGAGAGAAAGATTTTTCTCTTGACTAGAGAATTTGTAAGTATACTTTCCACTACATCACTTGAACAATAGTATGCTTTTAATGAATGTTTCCAATTTATATATGTTATTGTTAGAATACTTTCGAGAGATTGAGATTTAAAAAATATTTTCAGAGTATGATATTAATCTTGTGTTTATTATGAACTGATTAAAGTATGATAAAGTAAAGGGCTAAATACTTGAGGAACAAAATATTCCAAGATAGGGGCCATAGGAAAAGGGGTTCTAATAACACAAGATGAAAATTATACAAAAAGGGCCCTAAATGTTGAAGAGAAGTATTTTCAAAGTGGAAATTATTATATAGTTTACTTACTGAGTTTGAGCTCATATAGTTCTCGTGATGCAAGTAAATGCTAAAGTAGAAGTTCTAGTTGACTGAGCAAGCACGGTTCAAAGTCCATGACGAGTTAAGAGATCTTAAGATATGAAATTTGTAATCTTAAGGTTTTATTCGAGGATTGTAATTGTGATATATGTACTATTAAGAATTCTGCTCAAGGATTATATTTCCATCTTAAGCAGTAAGTTAACGTTTCTCTCGAGTTGACGCAGTTTTTAACTGCTGACTCGGGAGGAGCGTTACATAAATAGCTCAGAGGTAGCAGTCCAGTGCCAAGAGAAAACCACAAACCCATAAAAAACCAAGCAGTAACTATTCAAAATCTATATGCAGGAAAATCTAACATGACTCGATCCACTTCGCACCTGCAAAACCTGGGAGAAGAATGCCACCAACAAATAAAATTGAGCCTTTTTCCTTCCCAAAAAAAATGTAAAATGTATAATAAGTGAATTCAGAGAGAAAGAATTAAAGCCTTTTTCCTTCTAGCATTGAGTTCTCATGGCATAATAAGAGACTTAGTCACCAAGAGATCTACAACATAAGTAGAATCAACTTCAAATCGAACCAAAAAAATCCAAGTTTTGTATGTTTGTCGTAACTAAAGTCACCTAATACCAAGTGTAAGAGCAAAAAAAAAAAAACCGTTGGGAAAACCCTATTGGTTATAAAAATGCCACGATATCTTTTGCAATGTACCACTTCACTTAAGAGGGAGATTGGTCTTAAGTTAGAGTTTATAATAAGGAGGAAGGCATTACATATATAGGCACATTCTGAAAAAAATAAAAAAATAAAAAAAATAAAAAGACTGAAAACAATGCAGCCAAAGTAGATAGAACCACAAGAATTATCATTTTTAGTTACGAACTTTTAGCGACAAGACTAATTGTCACTCTTTAAAGATAAATTGTTATCACTGAAAAAATGTGTATCAGCTTATGGGATTTGGCTGTTAGGAAAGAGTTTTAGCAACAACAAAAAGCTAAATAATCCATGAATCCTTTAGCAATGACGTCACGGCAAAATAGGTAGAAAA